GTATTTATTATGTAATTATTATTAGGGGGGTCCATAGTTCCATATTTCTTGTTTAACCAGTTATTCTTACTTAATTTTTTGAGAAAAGTTCAAAAAACAATTCAGTTTTTGCTAATTTTTTATGGTTGACCAATTCAGTCTTTGCAAAAGTTTTTTTGCGTATAAAGTTACGCTACTTTTCTTTCAAATTTATACTATTCAAATTTTGATTGGTTGAATTTGATTTTTCATCGTTGCGTTTTAGAAAAAAAAAGGTTTTATCTGAAGTCTTTTTCTAAAAAAACGTTTTAAATAAGTTTAAAATAAACGACAGATTGCTTCAAAAAAAAAGTTTTATCTGAAGTCTCTTTCTAAACAAAACGTTTTAAGTAATCAGAAAGACAGATTACTTCAAAATATTTTAATTTTTTTTTTTTATTTATTTTTAATCGTTATCCAAGCTATCGAGAAGGCTATTTAAGATTTCTTTTTTTTTTTTTTTCACTTTTCTTTAATGAAGTCAAGAATAAATCTTCTTTTAAAGTTCCAGTCAGTAGAAAATCAGTTAAATTCTAAAGGTTTAACAACTCTAGAGATAAACAGGCTTAAGGAATACCGCTTCCTAAAAAGCTTTATAAAAAACAAACTGGGTGATCAAATTTTGAAATTTTCTGCTTTACTCAAAAACGCAGTGAATAGCTAGTTAAAAAAAAAACTCTAGAAGCAGTTAATAAGTATACCTCAACCAAAGAGGTTAAATGATTGTATCATTTTTGCTAGAGTATTTTGGCAAAAATTAGCCTAAGGACTTCAAAAAAGAGAAAAGTATTATGTGTTTGGTTGATGATGGAATATGATTAGTATTAACTTTCTAATTAAGTTGTTGCAGTTGAAAAGCTTTGGAAAAACTCATTTAATTTCAACAGTAGATGTATACTTAATTATTTAAACCATATAAAAAATGAAGGTTCGCATAGTTTAAAAATATTTTGGAAAATTATTGTCCAATTATTTGTCTAAAAAGTTGAAACTATGGAATATAGTTGAAACCAGCTACAAAAACAAATAGATAATGATGGAAGAGCAGCAAACTTTACATCAGGTGAGTAAGATGAATTCTATTTTAGTTTGATTAAAGTTACAAGGAGCTGTGAACTAGACATTATTGAAGTAGATAAAGATATGTTAAAATGAAAAAAAAGTTCGAAAAATGAGGTTCTTTATTTTAGGGATAAAATGTTGGTCATTACTGCGGAGGTCTTTTCTGTTTAAATACATGATTGTTGATATAAAAATACAAACCTCCATCTTATGTCTGCCAAAGAAAATGCTCATAACCTAAATGTCCCGCAGCAATCTCTATCACACATGATGACTTTTATAGTTATTTTCCATTTTCAATAGTAAATAACAAACTGTATGAATTATTTTCATATCTGATGCTTAATTTTTTTTGTTACTTATAAATCATAAGGTATATTATTGATAAATTAAACAGAAAAAGACTTCTGCTTTTCTACTTTTCTTATATTTAATGATTATAATAATTTCATCTATTTTTAACAACGTCAATATATTCACTTTTATTAAAATCGAAGTAGAAGGCTAAATAATTAAAATGAAAAAAAAATGATTATGATTTTCAGAATCAGCATGAAAAACTAATTAATAAAAATTGGTTAAACTATAAAAAAATGATTATGGACCCCCCCCCCCCTAAAAATAGTTTTAAAAAATTTTACTGAGGATTTTATTAATCAAAGTAACTACTTTTCTTTTAAACAAAAGCTTAAAGAACTCGTTTTTACAATCGATGATTTAACAATATACTTTTAATATTTTTTGTGATCTTTATTTTTACCATTTATTTAAACATGAACTTATAAAAAGTATATGTGCATCATTAACAACTATAATTTACATTTATAATAGATATAACGCATCTTGTATTTATTATGGAGTATTTTAAGCTTCTTACTTTTGTTAACTTTTATTTTTTAATCTTGTAATTATCTTTTAAATTTTAACACGAACATTTCTTAGCGGTACTCGACGACAAGACCATATGGTCTTCTACGAGTCCCCGCGTTCTTTTATTTTCTAATAACGACCATTATATTTATATATAAATTTATTATTATATATTTGTATTTGAAATATTGTAACGAAATGCTTATTTTACATGTAATAAAAAGAACGAAAATATATATATATATATAAACAAAATGTTCCGTACAGTGATGGACGCTGTAATGAAATGACTGAAAATAGATGTGGTGTTTTACATGGTTCTATTTTAGTATCGTTTTTATTTTTAATCTATAATCTATAAGGTTTTAATAAATGGCTTTAACAATTGAACTAATTAGCATCTGAACTAATTAGTATTATATTTGCCAATATTACAAATATATTAATATCAAATGCTAACATTGATGAACTATTTTCCAATGTTAACAAAGAACTTAAACACATATTAAACTTGTTTAAATGCAAAAAATTAACCATGAACGTTGAAAAAACAAAGTAAATTGTTTCACTTATATATGCTTCACTTATATATGTTTCACATATATATGTTTCACTTCTCATCAAGAAAATCTCTAATACCAAAAATATTACTTAAATTATTTATAGACAAATTGAAATAAAAAAAATTGTCCACAAAGTTTTTTAGAGTTTATTTATATGAAACTGTTTGATAGAAACCACATATTAATAACACCTTTAAAACAGCTAAAAGTGTTTAAACTTATTTTAAAACCAGAAATAATTTTTTTTTTTAAGGAAATTTACTACTCACTTAGACATAGTTATATTAACTATGCAAATACTTGGGAAAGTACAAAAGTAGCAAAACAATTACTTCAAAAGTAAATTGCCACCTCTTTATAGTTGGCTAAAACATTTCATACATTTAATATGAGTTCTAATTTTTTTTTTTTTTTTTGATTTATGCACATCTGCAAGTATATGTATGTATGCTTTTTTTGGAGGTGAACCAATCTTTGGTAGTAGTTTATCGTTTTTGTCAGCAGAAGCGTAAACGAACCAATGTTTAGTAATCTGGCTTACTAAACATAGAGTGACAACATTGTATGGCCCTTTTGTTACTTTCTTTTGTATGGCTATTTAGTTTCAATCTTTTAATAATCTAGATGTGTATTCGGAAGTCGACCATTACAAATGTATTTTTATTATATACAAGATTCCAATGATTTTATCCGAAAAATGATATTGAGTGGGCGTAAAACGATATATTTATTTTGAAAATTATGGACATTTTTATCCACATTATATCTTTAAACTTTTGCCATTTTAGTGATATTTATTTAGAAATTTAAAGAGATTATTGTTCACATATTTCCTCGGTTAAGAAGACTCAGTAGTTTCATAGATGCAAGCAGTACCCAACATATTATAAAAAAACTTAAAAACTTTTGTTAAAAAAGTTCTTATTTCACCATCACCAGTTCTCTGTGACAAGACCTGATGGTCTTCTTGAAGTATCCGCGTTACTCATACTATTTCTTATTCTTTATATTTTAACAATACCTTCTCTAGTAATTTTTCTTCTTTTATCTATTTGCATCATTATCTAATATATTTAATATAGAACAAAAAAAATATATAAAAAAAAAAAAAATCGGATTAAAACTTCTTTTAGAAGCTTTGTTTATATTTGTAAAATGCAGCCGTGGCACAGTGGCAGCGCACTAAGCCACAACCAAAATATACTTTTTTTCTCAGATCATGTTGGCTCACTTTGGGATTTGTTGTACATACCATTTTAAGACTATCCTAAAAATTTCAGATCGATTTGAGTAAGGGTAATTTTGGGAAACGGTTTTAAAGTTTTAAAGTATTTTCTTGTTTTTCATGAAACATTCATTTTTCTGGCATTTTTAATATTTGTATACTTTATTACTAACTTTAATACAAATATTCTTTCCATTAGAATACTTGAATATAATGGAATGAGTATTTACCACATAATCTTAAACACTAGTGTAGGAACAGGGGGAGGAAAAAGCAACACCTCCCCCCCAACTATGAAAAGACCTACTCAAATTCCGATTACGGCTGCCTTAGCCCCTGTTTTTGTCCGTTTCAACCCCCAACTTTCTTGACCTTCCTACGCGACTGATCTTAAATATTTTATGCGTCGCAATTTACTTTAATAACAGAGTAATAAACGTTCTGTAATAGACTTGTGGTAAAGCGCTCGCCTTATAAGTAAAGCTTCTGGCTCAAGCCAACCTGATGCTTCTGGAATTACCGCGTTCAACATGTTTCTCTGCGAAAGGGTAATTCCGGAGTTAAGGGTTGAGAGTCTTGCAATTAAAATAACTCTTGACAGTAGTCAAGTCAAGAATGCCTTTGGACATAGGGATGTAAACCAAATTTAAAATTAAAAAAAAAAACATTTTTCAAGAAAAAGGTATAAAGTAATCAGTTTTAGATAAATTACATTTATTTTCTGCTCTGCTTTGATTTTTAGTTAAGATAAAGTTGTGTCTCTTTATTTGACCATAAACTATCTTTGATGCCTCTGATACAAGTTTCACAGACCTTTCCACTGATTGTGAATTGTTGGGTAAATCTGTAAGAATAGGCTTTTTAGAAGTTTGCAAAGCATTCTCTAATTCAAATGATGAAATTAGGATAGAAGTTGGAGGTTCGACCTCAATTAAAGAAACATCAACTAAACCACTCCATGTATCAGCGTTAAAGTTAATAGGCATAATTGATTTTGCTTTGATTTTTGGTTTAACTTCAGGATTTACTTCTCTTGAATGCCTTATGTACAAAATTTGCTTAATAGCTTGAGCTCTTATATCTTTTTCATCATCTTGCAACATAGAATATAAAAAGTTTTCTTGAAGACAGCAATAAGAGTTTCCTTGAAGATTTTGAAAAACAATTTGTTGTACATTGTCTGTTTGATTTTTAACAAGCTCTATTGTTTTATGAAGAAGTCTCGGAGCATCTTTATAAAGACCAGACTTTTTATGGGCAAATCACATGGGGCAATATACTTGGACAATATACTTTGTAATTATGCACAACTCATCTGTAGGATTCTTCACTCTCGCATAAACCATCATTATCCTTAAAGCTAGAGTTAGCCATCTGGCATGGTAAACAGGTCCTGGTTTTTTCATTGAATATTTTGGGGATATAAAACCTCTAGATATTCCAATACAGTATTCGTAAAGTTTACGTTGATCTGTGCTAAGATCAGATAAAATATTAGAGTTTACATATGAATCAATCTCTGATTGAATTGGAATAAAATCAACTATTGGTAAATCATGCAAATTATCTGCAGAAGCTTTTTGACTAATAGGGCCATTATATTTCTTTGGATCGTTACTTTTACCATCTACTTCAGCTATGACATGGCGAAGTGGTAACTCGTTTTGATGAAGTACACATCCTATTAAATGGATTCCTCGATTTAAAAGCTTTTCTAATGTCACAACTAAGCCATTATCTGCACCGGTATTAGCAGAAGTATTATCAAGAACAATGGCTTTTAAACTACTAATGCTGTTGTATTTTTTAAGTATTTTTAGTGTTTCGGTTGCCATTGTAATTCCTGTTCCATTTTTTATTTCAATATGAGTTAAATATTTCTTAGAAAAAAGTCCACTTTCTGCAGTAAAAGTTAAGTGATGTTCATTCTTTACTGTTCTATTAACAATAGGTTCAGCATTATGATCATATCCTAATATATGTGCTAATGTATTTTTGTCTTTTTTACTATCTACTCTAATGACTTTCAAATGGAAAACTTCTGAACAGTGTTTTTCACTAAACATGGTTGAAACACACTTTTTAGAGCCAAATATCTTTTTTTCAGTGATAATTTGTGATCTGTCATTCTGAGTTATAATTTGATAGTCTATCAAGGTAGCAGTTGCTATGGCAGATGTTGCAACATCACTAACTTGGAACCTAATGGCAGCTTTGGCAATGTTAGTTAAATCTGTGTAATTTTTTTTCACACAGTGGTTTTGCAAAAAACTCACAATTCTGCTTTTTATAATCATCATCGTTATCTATTTCCATATCAGTTTCACTAATATAATCATTATCTGAATGAAGTGTTGTGTCACTTTTCATATTAATTTTCTCCTTATTTCTTTTTCTTGCAGTCATGGCTGTTTCTTTCTTATCAATTCGGCCTATCTGCCAGGTTCCAAAGGGCCCTTGCTTAACTTTCTGGTCCTTTAAATACTCTCGTTCTAGAACTGGAACCTTAATTTTAAAAAAATATACATTTAATAACTTGTAGAAAGTTTAAAATATTATTAAGCATAAATTAAAAAAATAATAATACAAAATAAAAATTCAAATTTAACCTGTTTACTTTTTTCACAGAGACATACATAGTGCTTGTTAGAGCAACCTTTGCATCAAACATTTCTAAAGGGTAATATACAGTAATATATACAGTAAAATATATGGCAGTTTAGTCACAAATTTGTTTAAACAAAATTGTTTAATATTGTTGTTTTTTAAAAATGTATAACTTCAAACTTGTCATCACAATTTAAAAGAGGAAGTTCACATCTGCATGCTGATATATCAAATAACTTTAAAAGGTTATTTTCCGACCAACAAACACTATTTTTATGTTTTGAAGCTTTAGATCGTTCAGCTGCAATTACTTTTTGAAATGTTCTTTGTACCTTATTTCTTAGAGGTTTCTCTTTCATTAGTGGAAGATTTGGATTAACGTTTTTCCAAATTTTTAAAATTTCTTCACTCACTTTTAAAACTACGGCTGGAGAGTCAATTTTTTCAGTTGTAGTTATTTCATTTTCGACCTTATAGGCATATTGAATAATCTGTTTATATGTTGGGAGGTCACTAACAGGTAGTTCATTTGGTTGTCCAGCATATCTTTCACTTTGATGTCTAGTTATAATATTATGTGTTCTTTTTCTTTGTGGTTGCCCAGATCCACATTTGTTATTCATTTTTAATATTTAAATTCAGTCTGAAAAAGATTTTTTATAAACTTGTTATATAAGATAATATCAAGTGAAAATACTATAAAATACAGAAGCTAAATATATAGCTAATATTTCTATACTTTATATAATATATTATATCTTTATATATAATATTTTATATCTTAAAACATTGTAAAAAGTAACTTTTTCCCAACAGAAAAAATGGAAACGCATTTAAAAATGGCAAACTTGTCGTTCTGTCCAATTTCGCAATAATTGAATGGAACCATAAAAATGTCACTTGTTTTGTTTTTCCCAAAAAAATGAAAAATTTTTGAAATTTTTTAAATTGATAATAATTTTATTGAATATAAATAGAACATTTCCCAAAGTGAGCCGAGCATTGACTTTAACTTGGTAGTGGCTTACAGCGCACTTGCCTCAGAAACAAAGGATCCGTAATTGAACCCCACCTCTGGACAAGTTTTGCGACATTGATTAGGGGGCACCTAAATAAATTTTTTTTTAAAAAAAAAGGAGTTATTAAATATTTCTTCTAATGTAAACAGATCATAAAATAAAAATAATTATAGTTTTTAAGATTTATATTATTATACGATTATTTTAATTTATGAACAAAATATTTTGTTCACGAATTTCCTTTGTTCTAGTCATAAAATGTTGAAATAAATAATATTAATAATATAATAATAATATTATTTATTGAATTTTTTAATAACTTTGAAGTTTATTTTTAATAATAACCTTGGTTATAATAACTTTGAAGTTTTTTTTGCGGAGGATAAGGGGAAAACCCCTCGTCTACAACCCCTCCTCCCCCCACTCCCTCTCATTGCAACAACTTCATTTTTTTATAATAAAACATGAAGTAAAAAGAAAAAAATATATTTATGAAACAAGGATACATAATATTATACAATAAAGTTTATATTTAGTTATCAGAAAACTGCTACAACCTTTCGTGCTTCTTGAGATTCTTCTAAGTGCTGGACAATCGGAAGAATACACGACTTTATAACTTCCGTGCTATGCATTAAAATTTTATGCACTGTAACAGACATGTATAAATGCAAATATAAAGTCCTTGTTTCAGAACAAAGTTTTTCAAATTTTAGACATCCAATGTCATGGCCGGAAGATAGCAATCTTAATAAAACACTACATTCTTTTATTAATTCAACGTTTAATCCTGTAATCTCTCCGTTTTTTCTGGATTTAAAAAAAACCTGTGAGCTATGTTGGCATCATTTGTATTGCCATAATGAGGTTTTGGTCTATCCGCAATAAGTCCTATTTGTTTTCTAAACTTTTGCCTAATTTCTTCCGAACGTTCTATGATACGATAATTTTTAATTACCTCTAACTTGCCACATTTTAATGTCTAAACGGTAGCTAATGCTTTAGTAAACTTCTGTGTTTCTTTTGAAAGTATGAATTTAATTGGTCGGCAATAAAGAGTTGACGATGGCCGAGGATTTTGACAAATAATAATATTAGAGACATCTCAACGGGACAAACGCAAACACAAACAAAAACTCATCATTAGCATCGGAGTTCTCAAACCTTTGTTTATAGGAAATAAATTCTTCTGGAGGGTAACACAACCTTTTGAATTTACATAAATTATAGTAAGATGGAAATACATTAAGCCCTGCTTTCATTGACCACTTTCTTGTTTGTTGATAAGAGTGACTGCTATACTTGGAATCTACATAACAAGCAAGTGCCTCATTGCTACTCAACTGCCTGCTATCACAAATAACATCTGTAAATTTACTTCGCTCTAAGGTTTCTAAACTTTTTAAATAGACTTAGCTACGTTTCTTCGACCTGACAAACGATGTGCTATTTCAGCAGCTGTTATTAATTCATTGGCACTCCGCGATTGCAATGAGTTTTCAACTCTACGTCTTTTGGTTTTTAAAGAAGAGTCTTCAAAGTTTTTCTTTGGCCGACATTATATTTCATATAATTTTATTCGATTAAAAAAGTTGTTGAATTCAGACAAATCTAGAAGATAAATAATAAGGCAATAAATACGAAGCTGGATAATAGTGTCATTAACGATCGACAAATAAAGGATATTTATTTGTTTGAGATTTTATAGCTTAATAATTTAATATAATATCTATTTAAAATTTCCTTACGTAGTTTGATTTGTACAAAAACTTTGAAAGTTAACAGTTTATAGTTATTGCTTGTAAAATAATTATAACTTTACTTGTTGACTAAAACATAATTATCTTCTCTTATGTCAAAATTAAAACTCAAAAAAGCCCACCATAAAGCGCTTTATATTACGCACAATAACAATTTAATGTAATTTGATTAAAAAATATAGCTCATACCTTCCTCTGCCATAATTGAAAGTTTAATTTTCCAAAACTAAACAATATGATAACAATAGGTTTACACTGAGTTCTGCAAAGATTTCTTCGCGTTTCAAAAGACAAGAAGCCCTTTTTCATCTATGGCTACAGATCAAGCCGATGAATAAAACATTAGGATTATAAAAGGAGACCGTAGCTCATTTGGCGTTTTAGATAACCTAAGTACTTTGATGAAGTAGATGGTGTGTGAACCACTACTTGCTGAGCTTATAGAAAGATTTGGAGAAGAAGATGATCATAGGAAGAAAATCATCACAAAGATACACCTACCTTTGGAAAGAATTATAATGAACATGTATCGGAATTTATTGAAGTTATTAAAGATTTAGGAAATCCGTTTTTAGTAGAAGAAGACATTCTCGAAGATATTACTTGATGCAGGGCATCCGTAAAAAAATCTAAGCAAATAGGTGTTGATTCATCCAAATGTTATATTCAGAATTGTTTAACAACTGGAAGGGATTCAATATATAAGACAATACCCAAAAATAACTTACGTCTGTTTAGAGAAAAAAAAAATCTTGCCACTCAAAAAGGAAGGTTAAAAACAGTAATGGTCAAAGAAAAATGTAAAATGTTTGCATCACTTTATGTGGTATCTCAACGTAGAGACGGAGATTTAGATGATTTTTTTCGACATGAAAACCATGCTTATCCACCAGCAATATCTAAATACGGAAAACTCCGTAAAACTAATAAATCGGATTATCTTAAATGCCTTGAAGAATACTCGACACATTCTTTGAATTCTCCTGAAGGTATCAAGGAAAAAAGTGTTAGATGGAGGAGCAATTGTTCATATAATTTATCCAGTAAAACTGGAGACATTCAAGGAATATTCAGAAATTGAATTCCGAGAAAAAAAAAATCAATATACCATCAGCAAAACATAAAGAAATATAAAGAATTGACATTGTGTTTGACCGTTATTTTCAAAGTAGTTTAAAAACTCAGACTAGGGAAAGTTTTTGTAATGGAGTGAGAGGATGTGTTTCTGATTCATCTCCTATTTGGAAAAATTGGTCACAATTCTTACGATTGGATGAAAACAAAAATGAGTTGTTTAAAATGCTTGCAACAAGTACCGACAATTGACTTACTTTTAATAGCAACGATTGATGAAACTGTTATATCCAATTCATCTCACCTTGTAACCATAAGGAAGCTGACACACGGATTTTGCTACACGTTAAAAACGCCGTAGACAGTGGGCACCAAGTTGTCTGTATTCAAACAGTAGACAGATATTGTTACAACCTCAATTTTTGTTTTTAAACAATTAACGAGTATGAACTAACTTTGGATAGAATTTAGAGTTGGAAAACTCAAACGATGGCTCCCATACACTTCTACGTTCAAAATATAGGTGAAAAAGCACAACCTATGTCATTGTGGTTTGCATTTACTAGCTGTGATATTGTGTCATTTGCAGGACGGGGGAAAAAACTTGCTTGGAGTCTTTGGAACAATGGGGATGATGAAATTATACAAGCATTTTGCTGGTAACTTATATTTATATAGGTATAGGAAGGCTATAATTTTAGGTTTGCTAGCTGCTTAACTTTTAAAAATATTTACTTATAGGCTGCTGTTTTGTGCAATTATAGTGTATATGCTTGTTTATTATTATTTTACTTGTCATCTCCAAATACTAGAGTTATTTCATCTGAAGCACTGTTGCAGTTTGAGCGCTACTTTATTTTACTTTATGATAGGACAAGTTCCACTACTGATCTCGCCATATGCCAAAGAATGGTGTTCACTAAAAAGTCACGACAGAGCTAGGGGTTACCGCCAACAAAAATTGCACTCTTTCAGCATTTAAAAAGAGCTATGTTTCAAGGAAGGTATTTTTTTAATATTTGAATAAACTTATCAAAACAATTCAAATAAACCATATTTAAAAAATATATTTACGTTGAAATTTTTATTTAGTATCATATGGGGACTATCCTTGGTGACACAACAGATTTTACCTGACGTTACTAAATGCGCTTAGAGAAAAATATATAACGCAATGATACTTTTATGGATAACTCTACCCGACGCATCAAAATCATACATTGAATTGATAAAATGTGGATGTAAAAAAGGTTGCGAAACACAATGCAAATGCAAACGTTCAGGGTTAAGCTGCACAGAGTTATGCGAGTGTTCTGGTCAGTGTTTAGAAGAAATTTGAAAAACCCTCAAAAAACTAGTTTTATTAAAAACTTCATCCGTAGGATAAATTTAAAATTTATTCTGTTATCAACCTCTTTTAATACCTTGTTTTATATCTTTAGCTTTATTCTACTATATAATATGATATAGTTATTTACTTGAAGTATATTCTCCTTTAAATTTAGCTTTTAACTCAACCTTATATTCTCAGTTTTGAAGATTATATAGTTTTTTACCGTCAACTTGGGGTCGCCCCTGCAATAAAAAATATTTTTTGAACAGGGTCGTTTTTTTTTTAAATTCTTTTAGTTCATAGAAAATTTCATGAAAGTTTTAAGGTGGTATCACAATTTGAACTATTTAAACTTATTGCCCCCACTATATAAAATGAAGGGGTTTAAACTTGGGGGTTGCCCAAGGACCAAAAAGATATTTTTAGAACGGGGTCTTTTTT